GTGAAAAAATGCTTCCTCATGTCCCCTCTAATCCCTGTACCAATCTCCTTAAATTTAATTTATGGGAACTTTGTAATGAGTCATTTGTACTCCTTTAAATGTGATTACAAACTTTATTTTCTGACACAGCTTCCAGAAACTTTATCAACATTTAAGCTAGGTTTTATAGCATGTCAGCAAATTATTCCGCTTTTATCTGATCAAATTAGCCTGATTGAACAGTATAATTTATTTCAGTAATAGAGCTTTAAGACCAGTTTGGCAATAAAATAAGGTGTGGAGTCAGGAACCTTTAGACTTTTTCATTCTGTATTTTACAGTGCAGTTTCTTGATCTGTGATAATGTTAAATTACTCATTGGTTTGCGGAGGTCATCAAAACTTTCTTTTCCATGATTTTATTTCTCAATCCCAATATTGAAGGAAAAGTGCCTTCTACAATGTTTTTGAGTATTTTCACAATATCAAAAACAGACTTTGGTATTTTGTTACAGGAAATTATTGTGAGGCAAAATTGCTCTGTAAAGAGGATTGTTGGGATGGATGTGAAACTACCATGAGAGACATATGATTATCTGCATCAGCTCTTGAGGGACATCTCAAGGGTAAATTATGTTTTGAGGTTGGTTGGCTCGCCGAGCTGGTTTGTTGTTCTGCAGATGTTTCATTACCGTGCTTGGTAACATCCTCAGTGCAGCCTCTGATGAAGCGTCAGTGTGTTTTCCCGCCTGGTTTTTAAACTCTGGGGTCTGTTGCGATGGATTGCCTCACTTACAGGTTTCCTCTGTAGTGGGACCCCAGAGTTTAAAAACCAGGTGGGAAAACACACCGACGCTTCATCAGAGGCTGCACTGAGGATGTTACCAAGCACGGTAACGAAACATTTGCGGAACAACAAACCAGCTCGGCGAGCCAACCAACCTCAACACCCACAACCCGTGCTACAGATCTACTCCAAAACCTTAGATAAATTATGTTTATTAACTTGATTGAGATTTTGATGAGGTAACTTGGAGAGTGAATGATAGCAATGCAGTTGATGTTTAATAACTGTGGACTTTGAAAAAAAACCTTTGATAAAGTACCACATGTTGACATTTTAGCCAAATTGAAATCCACGATCCATAGCAACAAAAATACCAAATTAGCAAAATACCCAATTATCAGTTCCGAAGAAGGGTCACTAGACCTGAAATGTTAACTCTGATTTCTCTCTACAGACGCTGCCAGACCTGCTGAGCTTTTCCAGCAATTTCTGTTTTAGTTTTTGATTTCCAGCATCCACAGTTCTTTTGTTTTTTTTTTACCAAGTTAGCTTTATTTGTGAGTGCTGACTGCAGGTCTTTGGCTCATTGACAGCTGATGTTTCATTCTGAACTGTTTTCTGCCAGTTTTCGTAGTGGTGGTTTGCCAGTGCTTTACTCTCAGGATTAATAGGAGAAGGCAAATCACAAGTTCAACTCAAAAAGAACAGGAATTGAGTTTTATGCTATTGATGTAATTTTAAACACATGCTGGCCATCTAGCCAGCTGAACAAATCTATTGCTCTGAATTAGCTGAGGGTTACAAAGCAGACATACAGCGAAGGGTTGCAGTTTGGCCTGGAGAGAAATATGCAGCAGAGTTCTCATCCTTTAGTTATAGGACTACTTTAGTTTTAGATCTGCATTAATCACTTGTTTTTGCTAGTACAGGGCATAATTTTAAATTTGCAGTTGATATGAAGTGCGGAAAACTCTGAGGGAGATAGTAATAGACTTCAAAGGGACAAGACAGCCTGGTTGAATGCATTGACAAATGGCAGAAATTCCATGAAGTGGAGTGAGGTGATACATTTCGGAGGGAAGAATAAGGATAGACAATACATGCTACATAATATAAATTTAAAGGACACAAAAGAGGAGAGTGGTGATGGGAATCTTGTGCACAAACCTTTGAAGGTGACAGGACAAGGACAAGTTAGCAAAACAATTAATAAAATATATGAATTCTAGACTTTATAAATACAGGCATAGAGAGCAAAAAGCAGTAAAAGCAGTTAAACTTTTATAAAACATTGGATTTGGCCCAGCACAAATATTTTGTCCAAGTCAGGCCTGAGACTTTTGAAAGGAAATGTAACTATTGGAGAGGATACAGAAATAATTCACTAGGATGACATGAGGGACAAAGGACCACAGTTATGTGCATAGACTGAAGAAGGTGGTGTTGATTTAGAGACAGAAAAAAACTGTAGATGCTGGAATCCAAAGTAGACAAACAGGAGGCTGGAAAAACACACCAAGCCAGGCAGCTTCTGGAGGAGGAGAAGTCAGCATTTCGGGTATTACCCTTCTTCAGGACTGTTGATTTACCTCAGCTCTCAGGGCCAGTTCAGACTAGTGGCAGATGCTAACCAGTCTGTGCACTGACACTGGATCCGATCAGAAGATGGTGACATTGTCCATATAAAGGGAGGCTTTGGCCTGAGTATCTCCACTACCTGGGATAGTCACCCCTTTTATGTTCCCATCGTTTCTGATGGACTCAATGAAAGATTCCATAATACATGCAAACAAGATAGGGAATGTGCCTTTGTAAGAAAAATCTGAAGAGAGTTTTTATTCCTTATTCATTCATGGGATGAGGGCATCAGTGACCAGGCAGCATATATTGCCCATCCATAATTGCCCAGAAGGCAGTTGAGAGTCAACCACATTGCTGTGGGTCTGGAGTCACATGTAAGCCAGACCAGGTAAGGATGACAGATTTCCTTCTCTAAGGAACATTAGCAAACCAGATGGGTTTTTCCCCAACAATCAGCAGTGGGTTCATGGTCATCATTAGATTCTTAATTCCAGATATTTTATTGAATTCACATTCCACCATCTGCTGTCGTGGCTTTTGAATCTAGGTCCCCAGAACTTTAACTGACTCTCTGGATTAACAGTCCAGCGAAAATACCACTAGGTCATTGCCTTCCCCAGAGATGCTGTGGTTTTTGCCAAAGATCATCCCAAGCAGCTCTGTAACATGGGACTCTATACTCTACGGGCTGTTCCCAGGATGTAGAGTGAGACAAATATCAAATGCAACTGAAGAACCACTAATTTTGGTAAAGGACACTGTCTGATCTGCCCACAACTTGCTGGTCTTCCAATACAAGGAGTTGTCCTCCACTAAGTGTTGGAAGATTCAGTTTTAAATGTTTTTGTAACATTTTTACAATTTTTAAAAACCAAACTATATTTTTGGAAAAAAAATGCTTGATTGCCCAGGATCTTGAGGCAAACGTGACGGAGAAGGGACTGTTGTCCATCTCATTGTGAACTTAGTTGGGAATTTCAATGCAGCATGATCACTGTACAGCCTTGTCATGAAATACAGCTTTATTTTGTTTCCAGAGGAAGTTTTGTTATGGTTTTACTAAGTATTAGAATTATGATTATATCCCATAGAATTTGAATAGAAAAATCCCTGAATTGTTTACTACAGGACAGTCCCACTCAGTAGATTTGCTTATGTAAATTTACACAGTCCAGGTTACAATTGTCCTCCCACTTCCTGATAGTACATCGACAAATCTTCTTAATTGTAGCAAACAGTGTCATTGAATATAGCCTTAAGAATGAACTGTCTGCGAACCAAAGCTCTGTGCTTGTACTTACAATGTTGCAGTGTTTTTGACTGTAGCATTAGGAGAGAAGGAAGATGAATTATTGTCATCATGAAAAACAGATGACAAACATTTCAGATGTAATTACGTGTATGTGCAGATTGATTCTGAGGGGTGACCACAAATTTGTTTTTATTGTGAAACTAGGGTTCATGTAAGAAAAAGGAAGAGATTCTCTTGAAAACCTGTGGTTGGATAGATTAAGTCCATTAAGCAATGTTCCTTTAAATTCTGAAAATGCAAATTATTGAAGTCCTTTGTTCTGTTTTTTTCAGGACTGAATAGAGCAGGTACTCAACTGTTTGAAGGCAACCTTCCATTTACTCATTGTCACAGCTGTGGGTTTATTATGTGCCCAAAGCCAGCTCTGATTTTTAAAGTAGGTTTAGTTTTATATTTATGGATGATTGATTCAATGACTGTACGTAGAAGCAGACTGCCATAAACTGCATCTGATTCAAACTGACATACATCATTAGTTTTAAAACTTGGATATGGAAACATCTGCGCCTATGAAATTTAATTTTGTTTTCCAAAAAATGTACTAGATTATCATCACACAAACAATTTGACATTTACACAAGCAAGAGTATAAGCATAAAGGCACTAGTAAGTTGATATCTAGACTTTGTCAAATGCATCTATGTTCTTTAATAAAGGTCTTAACGTGCATCAATTTACAAAATCATTGCATCAAACACTAAACCAGCAAATGGTTTACAGCAAACAAACACAGACTTTGCCAGTTATGATTTTATATTTAACAGTTAGAAAGTGACATTTCGTACTACAAACCACTGCTACAATCATAACACTTAATCTCTTCTTATCAATTTTAACCAGAAAAGAACTGACCTGATCACACTTTGCTTAAACCTCTGATATAAAATTACACAAAATGTCTGCTTTAATCTATTCCATGAAAATCTTCAAACTATACTAAAATTCATGTGAATAAATAATGCTGCTAATAGATGTAGATTCAGTTTTTCAGTATGCTACAAGGGTGGTAATGGAAGTAAATGAATCAGTTAACCAAGAAGCTGCACTCTAGAAACGTAACCATAGAAATTAATATACCTGGACTGTTTAAACATCTCAAAACTACAAACAGACATGAGAAATTAACTCAGAAAGTATGAAAGTTTGAATCTTTCTTATCCTCAGAAGCCTTCCACAAAACAAAAATTGGAAATAAAATTTTGATTAATCATTACTTTCTAAGCAATCCCAGTATGTGCAAAGTACATCCTGAGAACTGAGTCAGCAACAATAAACCTTTGCATCATTTCAAATAACTCTCACTGACAGCGCTTACAAATTAGTTGGTAAACAACAGCGACAGGTTTTACAATCCAGTTGAATACAAGAAGCAGATTTCTAAGCACAATTCTTACCTCATTTCCAAGGAAACAGAAGTGGCTGCTTAATATTAAGGTATGATTTGTGGTTTGAAGTATTATTTTGTTATAAAATATGTTTTAAAGCTAAAGAAATATATTTGAGAGATTTGCCACAGTATCTGCTACTTCCCAGCCTGAAAACATCATGTTTTACTTAATTTACATGACTTGTTTTTTAATCTTACCATGGCCTAATATGTAACAGACTCAGTGCAGATAATGTACTGCAGCACAATTGTTTGCAGAGTTGAGTGGTACTGCATAGGAAGTCACTATTAACTAACTGTATGAAATGATGCTGTAATATAAGTCAAACTGGCTTTGGTATCATCAAAGAAGGAAGAGACTGATTTTCTGAAAGAGTAGTTCAACATCATTCCACGCCACTATGAACACCTTATTTGAGCATTGAATGATTTTAAAATGAAGAACAATCGAGTTGAGACTGGAATATTTCAATTCGATGAAAAATGAAGGAACTTTCTAGTTATAATTCTTACCTCCTCAGCAGGGTTGCCATTTGTATTGTGGTAGAACTCTGGCAGGAGAATTCTAGGTGCAGTGAGATGAATAATTACAGGCATGATTCCAATATTATTTGTATTTAAGTATATGTATGTTATTTATACATTTTGTCAATATGTACCCAAAATATTCCATCGAAACACCTGTAGAGTAATTTTTTGATGGGCAAGCTGCCTACTCACTTAACAGTACTCTCAGAAGTTCAAATACACGCAACCTGACCATTTTCTGACCATTTATTAAGGGCAATATTCACAACAGGTTGCAATAAGGGACATTGGAAAATTACTCCTGAAGTGTTTAGGAAGGAAGAATGAAAATCAAAGAGCTACTCAAGTTGCTCTCATGTAAATAAAACTTTTACAGAATGAAAGTGTAGGCCACAATAGAAAGTAGAGGAAATCAATATTCCGATAGACATAGTGTGCTTTTCTAGCTTTTTTTATGGCTGTTGTATTTTCCGGTGACTTGTTACAGAGTAGCTCCAGCAAACTGAAATAAACTACTCTGTAAATTAGACATGGTGGTGGAGGTGCACACCCAAAGACAAGAGAACAATTACATTAAAACTATGCTAGTTTATTTAAGGCCTTTCTGGAAATTTTAATAGCACAACCACTCAGTAAGTAATTTGATACTTTTTTTCACAGAATGTATTTTATAATTGAAAGGTTATCCAACTCTGATGATGATAAAATATGATGTTAAAGCCAGAACCTGCTCAGAACGTAGCAGGTCTGGACAGGCAATAACAAATTTTATAAATGGGGCATGATTATCTCCTATAACTTGTAGGTGGCATACCTTGCTAAGAGACATTATTACTGCTGAAGTTTGAAGAACACTTTTTCAAATGGTTTATGGTCTATGCAGAACTCACAGGTGATTTGATTGGGATTTCATAACTCCCTCTTATTCATCATTTCTCTCATCATCATCACTGTGGAGAATGTGTTGGTGGTTTCCTCATTTTTCTTCCATCTTCTCCTTATCATCATCATTTGTTCCTGTACCATATTTGTTATAGTACATCTGTAGGTGGCAGAAACTAAGAATAGTTGAGCATTATACCCCATCTCCAGCTAAGCAAGAAGGACATGGAAGATTGTTTCGATGGAAGGGAAGATCAGACAGCTAGTATGGATATCAGGAAGATCTCCATCAGCCTTTGCTGTTCCATTGGGCCCTAAATTTATGTTCCCACCAATCAACAGGATGGTTTTTTGCATGGCATCCGGAACACAGTTTACATTTCAACTACCATGATCTTGATTATAGTAGAAGAGATCAAGTGTAGGGGCAAAGCCGTGGAGAGGAGAATGTAGCTCTATTGTAGTTCCACACAATATAAGGACATGGGCTAACAGTGTGTTCTCCTTCTAAATATTGTTTGAGCATTGCAAATGTCTGCATTCCCACAGAGACTGATATTTTTTGAAGAGAAATTTGATCTTCCAGGTGATAGCTGAAATAATGATATGTCAAGATTTCATGTTTAAAACTTTGACTGGAACAAATGATTAAAAAGCACTATTGACCATACACCGAGATAGTAGGAACTGCTGATGCTGGAGAATCTGAGATAAAAGGGTGTAGAGCTGGATGAACACAGCGGGCCAAGCAGCATCAGAGGAGCAGGAAGGCTGACGTTTCGGGTCTAGACCTTTCTTCAGACCGTACACTATCTTCTTTTGGTAAACAACTTATAGTTTAGACTATGGAAAAGAGATTTGCCATTTGCCTCTCAGCCTGACAGAAAACATGGCTATTCACTGTATTTCATTCTGTAGAACACTTTCTTTAAATCCAAGCTATGCAAATCTTCTAGACTTCTTCAAACCCACAGAAACTTTGTATTGAAACTGAATGCAAGCTTCCAACTCATGTTCTATGCAGTGAATCATTAAGTTTAAGTCACAGGCCTGGCTATGTTTATCTCATGCTGTCTATCCCTTGGATAGCGATAAACCACACATGAGAAAACTGAAAATTGCTGTCTACCTTTGATATTAATGATTTATAAGGAAGACTGTATCCTAACCTCAAAAATAAATCTTTATCGAAGCAGAAATATTAATTAGTTATCTTCGATCCAACTCCCTTTCATCTTAGAAGTAAGTGGATGGTCTTTGGCACTAGTGTCTCTCCAATGTTTCTTATCAACTCCTTGCAGAGATTCAGCACTACACATGCATCGACATTTGTCACGGAGAGGAAATCTGCTCATTATGCAGCTTGTGTATGCATGCCCTGGCCCAAACATTTGGTCGAGCATGCACAATAATTGAGAAGCATATCTCTAGGATGAGAAGAAATTGCAAATGCATAGTCAAGAGGCATGCAATGTTAGACAACATATTTCCACATTAACACAGATTTTAAGGTGAATATTTTTGGATTATTTTAGTTAAGACAAGTGGTGAGGATGAAACAAGGAGTCTGCAGAGAGATATATACAGGTTAAGTGGATGGGCAAAAACTTGGCAGATGGAACGTAATGTGGGAAAACGTGAGATTATGCACTTTGGCAGGAAGTATAGAATTTATTTATTAGAATATTACTTAAATGAAGAAAAGACTGCACATTCTTGAGGGACTTGACAGGGTAGATGCAGAAGTTGTTTCCCCTATTGAGAGAGTCTAGGACCAGAGGAAATAATCTCAGAATAAGGGGTCACCTTTTTAAGACAGAGATAAGGAGGAATTTCTTCTCTCAAAGGTTAGTGAATCTGTGGAATTCTTAACTGCAGAGAGTTGTAGAGGCTGCTTTGTTAAGAATATTCATGGCTGAGATAGACAGATTTTTAAGATATAAATGAATCAAAGGTTACGTGGAAAAAGGCTCAAAAGTCGAATTGAGGATCATCAGATCAGCCATGATCTCATTGAATGGTGGAAAGACTTGATGGGCTGAATGGTCCATTTTGCTCATATGTCTTATGGTGATACCGCATATTGACCAATAGTGTCTCACCCTCTGAGTTCCGATGTTAAACACATACTATTCATAAGTAACATGAATGTGAGGTTTGAAGTATGTCTTCAAAAAGTACAGAATCGCTTCTCTCTGGATCCTTTGCTTCTCAGAGAGATTGAGGCTGCACTACAGCCTGTAGCACTCTTTCCCCAATGCTATGAACATGGTTGATACTCTTATTTTCTCAGCCTTTTTAATCAGTTATCTAGTAATTTTATTGTTTTTCCACAAAGACCAGAACAAGTTCCAATTCAATTCAATTTCCATTGTAGCAGGGAATGGAAAATCACAGCCATTCTGACTCATCCTGCATTTCTAAGTTGCAGAATGTGGTTTTAATTGTTCTTTATTTAAAAAAAAGCAACTGGCTCTCTTACAGCCCTGAAAATTCACTCTATCTCAGCTGTAAATTTCTTACATCATTGTTTCAAGTAATATGTTTGATTGGTGTTAGAATAAGGGTAAAAACAAGTTACACAAAGGTAGAAGTCACATGACTATGGCAAGCCATCTAATTTACTATTTACAATTGCATTTCTCCAGACAGAGAGCAAGAACATCCACATTTATATCAGTCATATGCCTTTGTTGCTGGGTGGACTCTATGGGAGAAGACCTGTGCTCAGGTCTGCATAATGTGAGGCGCTGGGACCTGTAGCCTCTTTTTTTTGTGGCTGAACAGAAGTACAGCATTGATGCTTTTTGTATAGAGTGTCTATGAACATGGTTCTTTGCTGGTGGCCAATGCAAAATGCTAAACGCATCATTATGTAAGCAGTCATTGCACATGCAACACAATTGCCAAGTAACAGTCTGAGAACACTTCTGAGTTCTCGAAAAAAGAAATAAATAATTTCAGCTACAGCAGAGAATAAGGATTGAATGTTGAGTATAATTAGGATTACATAAAGCATACATACAACTTATCTAAGGAGACCTAACTAGAACTCAAAAAATTAATGGAGTCTGTCATGTGATCCTCTCTTGGGAATTTCAGGTATTCTTGTTTGGTCTCATTCACTTTGGTCTAATTTTTAAAAATGGCAACAGTTAATTCAGTTTGAACGTATTGGCTTAATTTTCTTAGTGAGGGGCCATTAGGAATCTACTTGTCCTTGCATCTGACTCTAATCCAGAAAAACCAGAGTAAGGGGAATAACTGGACAGGCTGCATTCTTAAAGATTCTAATTCTATGACAACATCTAATGATTAGACTCTATCGACATAACCTAGGTTAAAACTATCATACTTTAACCAAAGAAGCACTAAAATAGCACAATATCAAAGGAGTACTATATTCCTAGTACAAAATGCTGCTATTAATCTTTCTGTGTAGTCAACATGGTTCGCATTTTTTGTAACATTAAACAAAATGAACAAATTAAAATTCTCTCCATCCAAGCAGGTTTGTGTTATATAAGTTCATGGAAATATGAATTTAACAATAGTGATAATGCAATCAACCAACTGTTTAATCAGATTTTCAATTTCTAAGGATGCAAGATTTTCAAATTTAGGTATTTAGAGCTTTTTGATATATAGTACACCAGTAATACTGTTACATAAAGTAGTTGTGTTAGAAATTGACATAACATTTTTATGTTTACTAATATTGGAAATTGATCCTTCAAATTTTAAATTTAAAATCTCCTGTTGTCATATTATATAGAGGACTAGGGTCGAAGGGCTGAATGGCCCACTCCTGCTCCTATTTTCTATGTTTCGGCCTGTGGTGATGCAGTTTCACTTTCTTTAATTCAAATTTTCCCTCATTCTAATGTTCTTCCTCGGAGTCGGAAGGTTATCCATAGATCTGAGTCTAAAATCTACACAGATACCTCAGAACAGTACTGAAGAAATGTTGCACGACTGGAAATGTAATCTTTCATAGAGATACTCAACCTAGACATCTACTGCCCTGCCAGATGGATGTAAAAAAAAGTCAATTCTGAAATTCTAAAAAATATACATTGCCAGTCCTACGATTCAAGAATGAAAAATAAACAGAAATTGTTGCCTCACAATTACAAATTTTAGCAGGACCTCCTCAATTATACAATGTTCACTTACTCAAGAGCTGTAAATATTTCAACCTATGATGGTTCGTTTCTAATAACTGAAAAATGTTTACTGGTACTTCCACAATTGTTCCAGAACTGAAAAACTAGAAAAAATGGACGAGGAGAATCTCAGGAAGAGACAAAATAATACAAGAATGAAAAATGGGAATCTAGCAGCTGACAAACTGGAGTTGGAAGGCACCAAACAAAATGAACGAGAACATGTGGCACTAAAACAACAGGCAAGTACAACATTCCCAACTTTACACAATGAAGGATTATAAGATCCTTTAGAAAGTTCAATCAATATAAATTGCTGTGCAACTAGCTTTTATTTTAAGACAATCAAAACTCTTCTTTACAGTTATCTATATTATAGGTAATGTTCACTCATTGTAGGACATAAATTTGAAGACTATATTGCAGTGCTGTCTTCACAACTGTAATCTTCATAGTATAATTTTCATCTGATACTTTAAATCTCAATATGGGATGTCAAATGAATGCAGAGGGTGTCGCGTGTATGGAATGAGCTGCCAGAAGAAGTGGTGGAGGCTGGTACAACTACAACATTTAAAAGGCATCTGGATGGGTATATGAATAGGAAGGATTCAGAGGGATATGGGCCAATTGCTGGCAAATGGGATTAGATTTATATACAACATTTGGTTGGCATGGACGAGTTGGACCAAAGGGTCTGTTTCCGTGCTGTACATCTCTATGACTCTAAATAACTTCTTCAGTGTAGAAAACAAATCTCATAGTTTCTTACACCATATCCAACTGGATCTGAATGAATCAAAGGTTTCTATCCATCTCCAATACTTAGCAATGCAATTTCGCATTCTATTCACAAAATCTGTCATTACCAGATCTCTCAATCTCTCTCTCTCTCACACAGACACACACACACACACTTTATCATTAAGAGGTTGCTTCTTCCAATTTTGAACTCCATCCCCACCCAACCAAACCTCCACCATCAGTGTCCTTCATTAAGTTGGTTAGTTTGAATTGAGTTTCTGAACAAAAGAAGTACAGCCGATTGTCTGAGCAATGCAAGTCAAGGGACATTGTGCCTTTAAATATTCACTGAAGCATAATAAACACGAGAATGGGTACAGTTCTAATTTACTCAACACCCATTGACTTGCAAAGAGTTTAATTACATGTAGGTCCAGCTCCATTGGAGCAAAATTCTCTACTCTAACAATCATATAGTCTGGATCTTTTTGGATGTCGTAGCACAATATCCAAATGATTATGTTCCTCACTAAAGACCCTGAGACACGAGTTCAAATCCCATGTCAGCAACTGGGGAATTTAACTTCAATTAATTAAAAATAAACCAGGAATACAAAACTAGTATGAGTATGAGCTCAGTCAGAGCAACATAGAATCAAAGAATCCCCACAATGCGGAAACAGGTCATTTCATCAAGTCCACACCAACCCACTGAAGAGCATCCCACCTAGACCCAAACCCCCTACCATGTCCATGTAACCCTGCATTCCCCACGGCTAATCCTCCTAACCTGCATGTCCCTGGACATGATGGGCAACTTAGCATGGCCAATCCACCTGGCCTGTACATCTTTGGACTTTGGGAAGAAACTGGAGCACCTGGTGGAAACTCATGCAGAATGTGCAAACTCCACACAAACAGTTGCCCAAGGTAGCAGTGGGAGAGGAGGGCATTGAATTCATTTGGAGCAGGAATGGGAATGGGAGTGGGAGCAGAGCAGATCAAGATGAGTCGAAGCGGGAATGGGAACTTTCACCAAACCTGGAGGCCCAGCTCCTGAGGTGAATTCATGGTTCAAAAAGTGATGGAGGGCAAGAGGATTGGCTGCTTGGGAACCAGCTTTAGAGTCTGAGTAAGTAGTACCAGGAGGGAGATAGAGTGTAAAGCCCATATTTTTTTTCATTTTGTTTGTTCAAGTAGGGCAGCAGGTATATGCCAGGTAATTATAGACCAGTTAACTGACACCAGTATTAGGGAAATTAATGGAAACAGATTCTGAAGGAGGGGATTAATCAATACTTGGAAAGGCAAGGATTGATCAAGAATAGTCAGCACAGAATTGTTAGAGGGAGACCTGCGTGCCTAACTTCATTGAGGTTTTTGAAAAGGTGACTAAATATATTGATGTGGATACTGCAGTTGATGTGGTTTACATAGATTTCAGTAAGGCCTTTGACAAGGTCCCACATGGAAGCTGGTCCAAAAGGTAAATTGGGCAGAGCAATGGCAGATGAAATTTAATTCAGATAAGTTTGAGGTATTGCATTTTAGGAGGTCTAATAAGGGAAGGATATAGGGTGGTGAGTCCCTAGGGAGTACTGAGGAACAAAGGGACCTTGGTGTACAAGTCCATAGATCCCTGAAGATGTCAGCACAGGTGGATAGAGCGGTGAAGAAGACATAAGGGATGCTTGCCTTCATTAGCCAGGGTGTAGAATATAGGAGAAGGGAAGTCTTGTTACAACATTATAAAACATTGGTTGGGCCACAGATGGAACACTGTGTTCAGTTCTGGTTACCACGCTATCAGAAGAACATGGTTGCACTGGTGAGCATGCAGAGGAGATTCACTAAGATGTTTTTCTTTAATTTATTCACGGGATGAGGGCGTCACTGGCCAGGCAGCAATTATTGCCCATCCCTAATTGCCCAGAGGGCAGTTAAGAGTCAACCACATTGCTGTGGGTCTGGAGTCATATGTAGGCCAGATCAGGTAAGGATGGCAGTTTCCTTCCCTAAAGGGCATTAGTGAACCAGATGGGTTTTTCCAACAATCAACAATGGATTCACAGTCATCATTAGATTGTTAATTCCAGATATTTATTGAAATCAAATTCCACCATCCACCATGGCAGATTCGAACTTGGATTCCCAGAATATTATCTGGGTCTCTGGATTAACAGTCCAGCGATATTACCACTAGGCCATTGTGTCCCCAATGTTGCCTGTGATGAAAAGTCTTAGTTATTAGAAGAGAGTGGATACGCTGGGTTTGTTTTCCTTGGAGAGGAAGAGGCTGAGGCCTATCTGATTGAAGTATAGAAAATTATTAGAGGCATAAACAGAGTACATCTTGAGAATCTCTTCCCCATGGCGGACGTGTCTAAGACCTAAGGTTATAAGTCTACGGTGAGGACCAAGTGGTTTAGAAGAGATTTGAGAAATTTGTTTTTCACCTAGAGGGTGGTAAAATAATGGAAGGCGCTGCCTGAGAAGGTGGAGTAGGCAGGCAGACTTGCCTTTGTCTTACTTTAAGAAGTATCTGCGTGAGTCTTTTTAGGCTATGGACCAGGTGCAGATAAGTGGGATTAATGTACTTTGGTGCTTATTAGTTGGCATAGACATGGTGGGCCGCAGGGCCTGTTTCTATGCTGTATGACTTCATAACTCTATTATAGTGTGGACATTGCAAGTACAGGTTAGAATCAATAATAATAATAATACTGAAACCACTGATCTGTCCTAAAGTCCTACCTGGTTCACAAATAATCCACATTGAATGATAAACATTAAATACCAGTCTTACCAGTAATACTCATATTTTATTCGTGAACTTAAAAAGAGTTAAATTGGCTTATAAGATATCAGAAATAAAGTCAACAAATGAGTGTTATTGGAGCTCCAGGCAAGTGGAGAATATTCCATCACACTCCTGACTGGTGCCTTGTAGTTGATGGACAGGTTGTGAGAACCAGGAGGTGAGTTACTCGCTATAGGATTCCTAGCCAATTATAACACTAGTACTTATATGGCTATTCCAGGTTAGTGTCTGGTCAATGGTAGTCCTTGGAAGTTGATAATAACGGATTCAGTGATGGTAATGCTATTGAATGTCAAGGAGACAGGGTTAGCGTCTCTCTTATTGGAAATGTTCATTGCCTGGCCTTTGTGTGGCACACATGTTACTTGCCACTTATCAGCTCGAGCTTGGATGCTGTCCAGATCATGCTACATGTGGACATAGAATGAGTAGTAATGGATGTTGTTGATTACTATGCAATCATCAGCAAATCACTTCTGACCTTCTCATGTAAGGAAAACCATTGGTGAAGTAGCTGAAGTTGGCTGACCTAGGCCTAGAACACAATCCTGAGGATCTCCTGCAGAGATGTCCCAGACTTAATTAATTATTAAAAACTGAAAGAACTACAGATGTTGTAAATCAGGAACAAAAACAGAAGTTGCTGGAAAAGCTCTGGCAGCATCTGTGAAGAAAAAAATCAGAGTTAACGTTTCGGGTTTGGTAACCCTTCCTCAGAATACAGGATCTGATACGTTAACTCTGATTTCTTTCTTCACAGATGATGCCAGACTTAATTAATGTCCAATAAACATAAAGACCTTCCTAATTTGCCAGCTTTGACTCCAACCAACTGAGTGTTTTCCCCTAATTCCTATTGACTCCAGTTTTATGAGCGCTCCTGTCAAAGGTGACTGAGAGAAAGAGAAAGATGATGTTTCCTTCTCCAGGTTCAAATTGAGAGTCTAGGGAGATTGTTGCAACATCACTGAGAGATCTTTGGAATACACATTGAGGATGGAAATGAGGAGGGTTCCTCATTCCTGGAGAGGAATCAGCGTGGGATGGCACAGGACCATGCACAACATTGGTCATGACAGTGCTGGCAATGGGACTAGATTAATTTAGGATATCTGATTGGCATGGATGAGTTGGACTGAAGAGTCTGTTTCCGTATAACTCTATGACTCTATGGCTCTATGACCAACAAGAAACATCAACAGAGGATCAGGTATTTCTAAATGATGCCAACCATGGGCCAAGGAAACACTGAGCATTGATGCAAAATCAAATATATACTGCAAGTGAAGTTATTACTTCGCAGACAAATGTCTGACCATAATGTCAGAGACAGCTCCCAATGTCAAGGGATTTTCCCTTAGCTTCATTAGCTGCTTCTGGATGATCTCACTTGCCATGGGCTGGGAGACAAAACAATACCAATAGCTTTCAAAATGGTGGTTCATGGAGGTCTGCTTCCTTGTATTGCCCCAGACCTGATCAGGATCCCTAAACCCACAAAAGCCAGCAAAGGAGAGGGCTAGAGCTGACGGCTTCCTGCATAAGTGCACTTGCACCCTCTTCAGCCTCACTTCTGGAGGCAACAGGGTAACTGTAAAAGGGAATGAGAAGTGTCATCCTGAGATTATAATCTAGGGCAGCTTGCTAACACTCCTCCCCACTGTTGGCAGACAATTG